AGCCTCGGGTGTTCCACACTTCGGGCTTGGGTATGGCTGGCTAACGACGGCTAATAAGCCAGAAATTGCCATTCCAGTCTCCCTTGCTTTTGTCGGTAATACCATTCTAGTTATAAATGTGATTACAGCATGGGCGACTTCCATCTCCGCCATTCCGAGGAAATTAGGAAGCAATGTTATTCAAGACTCTCCGGCCGCAGCAGCATAAAAGTGCGCTCTGAAAGAAGATTCTAACTCATAATCTGACCTCATAAACTGATCTTCTCCAACTTCGTAGATAATTTCTGAGGAAATTCAAAGGCGACAATTTCTAAATTGGAGTATCTACCAGAAAACACACGGGGAATGCTGGGTGACCAACTGACGAGCCGAACTCCTCGCAGCTGCGCTATGCAGCGGCAGAATATCGGCGAATTACGCGTGTATGGGCTTTTGGTTAGTAGCTGTGCTGTTAGTACGGTATCACCTTACCCTTAAGCTCATAATCGTTCTTTCGACGTAGTGGACAATGTTGATTAGTTGGCCATACCTCCAACACGGGTGCCAGTTGAAGGCAAAATAACTTGCCCCAATTCTACACATTTATTTCCAAAGCAATAAAAGACTCAAGAAATAATATTGCCGTAGGAAGGTGTGTTCGCCAATCAGGCTATGGGACGTGTGCAGCGACCATCGATATACAGTGCGTGACCGATCTCACGAAGTGTTGGCCGAAATTCTTAAATGCGTTTTCGACTAGGAAGGATTAATCCGGTGCCAGGATGTCGGCTTTTGAATGCGCCTCTTTTTGACCTCCCACAGAAACCGTACTGGGTAAAAATGACTACTTATGTAGCATGCATTTTTCACTTTGGTTTTCGATGGTCTTGTAAATTCAAGCATATTTTATAGAAAACATGAACAAAAATATGGTTTCGTTCACTCGGTTGATAGATAATTATGTCAACTTTATATTTTACACTTGACACAGTTGTATAATTAAGTTTCAAAAAAGTTCTAAACTATGAGATTTTTAAGATCATTCAATGTCTATTCATGCAGTATCGTACCTGTCCGTTTACCGCTGCTCCTCATGAATTGTACAATATAGTCCACATCCATTGCAAACTTTTGCAAGATCTAAATGTATCTTTGTAAATGCATAGAAAAAATATGTCATCTTTCTTAGGCGGAACTCATGCACCTCGTAGACTGAAATCGCTAAACGCTAATGCAAAAATGGATCAGGTTCAAAATTATTCGGGAATTGGGAAAATTTTTCAAAACCTAAATATACACTTTTTCGGGTATAAAATCCGGAGACAATATGATTTTCTATCAAGCAAGCAAAAGGAAGGATATTTTGTGCATGTTTTCTATACAATATGTTTGAATTTATAAGACCATCGAAAAGTAATGTGCAAAATGTATGCTACATAAGTAGTCATTTTTTACCCTGTACGGTTTCTATGGGAGGGCAAAAAGAAGCTCATTCAAAAGCCAACATCCCGGCAAGTCCGATGCACTATGGGATTATGCTTCATGATGAGTAATATTACAACGCCACCTTGTTAATTCTTCCTAGTCAAAAACGCATTCCAGAATTTCGGCCAACATTTTATGAGATCGGTCACGCACTGTATGCAGAGAAGGGGAGTACCCACAAAGACGACGGAGACGGGGTGATCATTTCTGGCTTGTGGGCCGTCGTCAGTCAGATACAGCCAACCCCAGGTCTGGATGATCTGGGACAGGGCGACACAAGGAGACTAGCACGCCCCGTAACCCAATCAGTGAACCCACCTTCCCACAATAATGCATAATCCAGATCACAACCGACGGAACAAAGAACCTCTGACTCAGTACTAGAGCGCTTAACTTAACGCCCAGTGACCGACGAATCTGGGTTTGAATCTCAGGTTATCCAAACCGAGGTGGCCAGAGGTGGCCATCTCCGTCGCTCTTATCGTTGTCGACACCCCCAATTTTCTCCATTGAGTATGTTATTTTGCACTTGGTTAGGTATTACACAGTCAAGTTGAAAGTTTCTTTCCAAGGGTGTGGATGAGCGTGATTATAATACATGATCTCTACTTGTAAAGTATGATTTAAACGTTTCATTCTGCACTGAAGTATCAGGGCTCGGTCGTCGCAGACGGTCGTCTAGCAGCACCTATTCAAGCCCCTGGTCTTTCTGACGCTAACAGATGATCCAGACGTTGCAGTAGGTTGAGTGAGTAAACTAGACACTCGGTGGGGTCTCGTAGTTCAGGTGGCAAGAGCGTTGGCTGTACTAAAGCCTCCCCTTGCTATCGTGCGTTCGAATCCCACCGAGGCATCGAGTTTTTTACAGCTGGGTCGAAGTGAATTACTTGCAGATGAGGTAAGGTTGGGTGACGACAGGGCTCTGCGGTCCTCTAAGCCAGATCTACAGTGTTACTTCTTGTCGAATTGTCTTCAGTAAGATTATCGATCATTGTCTGTGGGGGCTGCTTAAAGACTACTGGCGGAGTAACACGAAAGTTGGCACGGTTGGAGTCGTGGCATTTTATCACCCGATGAAGTAAGCCTCGTAGAGGTTACTCAACAGGGCATTCAAGAGGAAGAGGGTACGGGTGAGAGATAGAAAGACCCCGAAGGAATACCTCGGCAAAAGTAAGAGACTACAAGAATGTGAGGGGAGGGGCGGAGTCGTGGTAATGTTGGAGGCTTAGAAGGAAAAGAATAAGTAAAGACATTCCCTGTGTAAGCAGTCTTTTACAGCAGAGGCGAAGATAGATGACGAACTGGTGGATCTTTAAAAGCACCAACTATCTACACCCAGTTTCAGATCACATACCTCCCGACCAGGGGTTGACACGACTGACTAACGACAATAACTAGGCCAGAATTGACCATACTTTTCGACTTTATACTCCTCTATTTGGCTACTTTAGTTCAACAGATCGTTTATGTTTAGCATGAGGGTATTTTAATAGTATTACTATCGTTATACATATGTGTCATTTAAATGCTAACGGCTCGTTGTGGTGTGAAGGGGAAGATTTTATGGGTACACCATTGCCTGCGTATTTAAGAAGTTACTTCTCTTAATGATATATTCTACAACTTTAAGGGAGTCATCAAGATCAAACTTCTGACGCTCCAGACAGACTATCCCATAAAAATCGTATATACGCCCAGACCTGCAACACAAGCACTTATGACACCGGAAAGGATTTGTGTGGAGAGGCGTCCAGTCGAGTCGAGGAAAGCTGTTTATGACTATCTTACACTCACACAGAAGGTAACAGAGGGCTCAATTAAATCATAAGGGCTCAACATTATTCTTGTAGACTCAACGACTGTCAAAGCAGGTCAAAGGTACCAATCGTCTGAGTAGCAAAAGCTGTGAACCCTTCTGTTCCACCAACCAGCTGAGAATGAAAATTGCCCCTTGCAGCGGGTCTGTTTCTGCCAGCATGTTGCATCTGTCCTTTCGCGCACTCCATCCTGCTACTGTGCCCTGTTTTGTTTCCAACTCTCACTTCAAACTAATCTCCTTTTGGAGCTTCGCCCTACAACACGTTTTCTCACAAAAGGAGATTTTGCCTACCCCTCCCCTCAACTGCTCTTGGTGGTCACCTGTCAAGCTTGTTGCAACTGTCGCACCACGGTTTTGCATCTCGCCTTTCGAAAGACCAAACATTCCGATAGAAGGCTCCCCTCTCCTGCCTATTTTTCGTAAAAATGCTCTTTTCCGGGTGATGAAAAAAGGCTGGGACCCGAGAGCACCGACGGACTAAGCAGCACCTTTCCCTATCGTCAGAGTTGTTTTTTCCATTTCCTCTGAGAATTAGTGACACCTAATGGCCGCAGTGACCGAAAGGAGTACTTTTAGGCGCTGAGCGCATGGATCGGATCGTCAGTCAGTCAGTGTATTTGAGGGAAATGGGCTTACGTCTTTGAACTCCCTAAAAAGTCACATAGTCCGCTTGCTGCTGCAACATATATCTGTCAAGCCGACATTTAAATGCCTCCACAGATTGAGACATAACAATCGTCTCGGGCAGGTTATTCCACGGTTCCACGACATGGTTGGAGAAGAAATATTTTCTCACATTCAGTCTACCCCGGGGCACATGTAACTTGAAGGGATGTCCCCGGAGGTTAGTTGTTTTGGCGAGTTGGAAAAAGTCATCGCACCGAAGGGCGCAGTCCAAGCCACGCACGATACGGAAAGTCTCCGCGCAACTGCCTATAACTCAGAGGATAGAGATTAAGGTTAGTTAAGCGGATCTCGAATGGCAGTGCACGTTGACCTTTTATTAAGTTTGTTGCTCGCCTCTGCACCCTTTCGAGCAGATTGTAATCCTGATGCGTCCACGGTCTCCAGGCCTGAATTGCATATTCGAGATGCGGCCTTACAAACGTGCCGAAGACTTTGGAGAAGCAGTCTTTGTCGAAAACTGCGAATGCCCGCTTGATGGCATATCGTGTTTGGAATGTAAACTTTACGGCCTGCCTATTCAGGGGCCACAATTTAGACCGAGAAGGAAACGACCAAATAACACAAATACTTGGACAATTGATAAAACAAGGGCTCTCCTTAGCTTCAAAGGATAACTATGACCAATAAGAGGCTAAGTGGTAGCTTTCTGTAATACCGAGAGAACACAGCACCTGTCAGGTATACCTGTGCACACGCCCTCTATGTTAAATTTAGCTGGTCGATCAAGTGACAGGGTAGGACACATAGATTGCATGCTAGCTTTGAAGGGCGCCAATAAGACACTGTATGGAGCTCAGTTCTAAATCAGATAGGCACGGGATCTACCGGTATTGGAACGACAACATGAGATGTGATTACGCAAAGCTACACGAGACTGTCAGTAGCTTTTTTGCGCCTTCCTCTTTCAAGAGTCATCATCATCAGCAGCCGCGCAATATTTTTCCACGCTGTTTACTTAGCCTTCATACAATACGGCTAATCAAATAAGACCAGGGATGACGGTTAAAGTAGACAACATAAGAAGGCAAGGATGAGGAGGAGGAGGAAAGGGGGAGGAGAAGAAGAAGAAGAAGAAGAAGAAGAAGAAGAAGAGGAAGAAGAAGAAGAAGAAGAAGAAGAAGAAGAAGAAGAAGAAGAAGAAGAAGAAGAAGAAGAAGAAGAAGAAGAAGAAGAAGAAGAAGAAGAAGAAGAAGAAGAAGAAGAAGAAGAAGAAGGATCGTACACCTCAGTTAACTGGATGTTTTTCCCCATGGCCCCTAAAAACTACCAGCCGATATCGAAGACACCGACTTAACCGATTCCGTAAGGTTGTATGATACAACTACGAGAGCTGCGGCTAACTAGGAGCTCCCCAAAGTCCCCCATATAGTTTACTGTGGTGTCATAATCAATTATTCTGACCAATTATGTACTACTTTTATACTTGGGTAGAGAGTAAAAAGATGGAATAAATCGTTCGTTGAGTATGCGTATTTGAAAGGCTTTAGGAATGTGGGGTGTCCAAGATAAGATGTCACCACGGGCAAGCGATATGGAGGAATTATTCTGCCTAAAATAGCCCTCGGGCTTTCTGCTAATTAACTTTGGCCCATGACAACTACAGCATCTGCCCAAACTTCCCCTGCGCAAAGACTCTCTGCGTCAAATCAGTCTCAATCTTTGTCTCTCCAGCAACAACAGTGATCTGCCGAAACTAGCACTTTCGCCGACAAGATTTTCGTATGAAAATTCGGACTGAATCGTGGCATTTGTGTCCGCGTACAGTATGGCAAATTCGTCTGGAAAAAAACAGTCCCCGCAGTTGTCCGCGCGCAGTCTTGGAAAGTCGGTGGTAGACGCGTTTGAGATGTCTGGTCGGGTTTTTCCGCTCCTATGTGATATTTACAACATCCTAGAGGCAATCCCAGTTTCCCTTTTATTTATCAACACTACTTCCCTATTACTGGTTGTGCAAATTTGATCGACCGCTTGCGAGAGCTCTAGACCAGAGTTGCAGAGCAAGTTGGAACACCCCCATTCTGTCCTCCACTTACGAGAGATCAGCGAATGTCATTCCCATAGGAGTTTAATATTTACTATCGTAGCCGACAGGGCGTGAAGTAGTAGCTTACCTGTAGACCTGCCTTACCCAATACTACTGAAGCGTCCGAGTTCAGACCGCACGTCCTCCAGACATAGAGTTTGGCTGTGGCTGACTAAAGAAGACTGTCTCTGATGATGGGTTTGCGTACGAATCCGAAACGTCGGGCATATATGATTCTTCCTCCGGCAGTTGCATCTCTCCGTCCTCAAAATAGAACCTGCAGTTGCCCTTGATGCTTCTTGGTAGAAGAAAACGTATTCCACTCACCCTGCCTTGAGTTCATGTCATGAAACTTCAGGAAGTATGCTTTACTCGCTTGTGCCACCTTTACTAATCCGCAAGCCCACCCACCGAAATACAGCAGGTGTGCTAACTCATGAAATGTCAACCAGAATTTCGAACTGCGTTCTCGTTTCGAAAAGATAAATTAGGTAGTGTTGTAAAACTAATCATGATGCAGCATAAATCTATAATGATCCAGTTACCTCAGGGTGTCGGCTTTCAAAAGAACTTATTTCCGCTGCATGCAACATCTATACTCTGCAAAAAATGTCTACTTATGTAGCACGCAATTTTCTCGTTGATTTTCGATGCCCTTGAAAATTCAATTATGTTTCATGGAAAACATGCATAAAAATATTCAGTCTTTTACTTATTCGGTAGAAAATCACGTCTTCTTCCAATCCCATACTCAAAAGAACAGTATAATTCGGCTTAAAAAACTTTTCTACTTCGCGAATAATTTTGAACCCGACCTGCTGTTACACTTGCACTCAGGGTTTCAAAACTACAAGCTGTATATTTTCCGTGTACGGAAAACCATGCATTTCTCTACGTTGTTAAGAGGAGACCATATGAGGTTCATAAAATTAAGCAGTGGATTTGAGCAATATTGTTAACTTTATAAGCCACATTCGTAAATGCATATAGATGACGTTTCATGAACGGCCATTTAACGGTATTAAAAAATCTCACAATTAGAAACTTTTTTAAAACCGAATTATACTTTTCTTTTGAGTGTGAAATTGAAAGAAGACGGGATTTTTTATCGAATAAGTAAAAGAATGAATATTTTTATGCATGTTTTCCATGAAATATAATTGAATTTTCAAAAGCATTGAAAATCAATGAGAAAATTGCATACTACATAAGTAGACATTTTTTGCAGAGTATAGATCTCGCATGCAGCCGAAAATAAGTTCTTTCGAAAGCCGACACCCTGAGGTAACTGGATCATTATAGATTTATGCTGCATCATGATTAGTTTTACAACACTACTTAATTTATCTTTTCGAAACGAGAACATATTTCGAAATTTGTGTTGGCATTTCATGAGTTAGCACATCTACTGTAAGTTTAAATCCTTCTTGAGGGTCGCATTACCTGCCTTTCGCAGGTTTACGATGAAGCAAAAAACCGCACCCCATAGGGCGCTCTCTTTTCGTCTGAAAGGTCCTTATAGAGCTCTTCTTAGTGCACCTTCAAATCGGTTACCGTGATTTGCCAGATTAAAAAAGTCATTTGCTGCCTTACCGCCTGCCTTAATAGGGCCGGTCCATTCTTTCTCACGTCGTGAAGACATCAGTAATCACACTTTGCCTAATCATGTCCTGTGCAAATTAGACCCCTAAATGAACTTTCTCCTTCTGGAGGAAGCGTATCCATTGACAAGCTGGCACCCAACTCTGCCCGCACCTAAGAATTCTCAATACCATGGCGTACCTACTTCCACTGACTAATTAAGAGAGTCACGTGACGCCTTCACCGTCAGATGACCACATCCTGACTGTAGCTCTTGCACCGTCGACAGTTAGCAAATGGAAGAGCAGAGAACTTTGTTCTGTCTGCGTGACTAGTAAAGGAGTTTTAGGAAGGATTAGGTATGTAGACCTACTGAGAAGGCAGAACGCAGGGACTTCTGTAATATGAGAAGGATCTTAATTTGAAGCAATATTTCCCCGGAATGAATGTAAAGCAGGCATGGGCAGCAGAACTTATTGGAAGCAGTAAATTTTGCAACGGCTTATCAACTGCAGCCTGTCGTTGCATAACACATCTCAAATACCATCAAGCGGCGATTGAGATGCGCCATTGAAAGAACATAGAACTCAACTGAACTTATATTCTGCAGCCCCACTAAGGCTATCAAAGTTCCACGGTCGAAGGATGCCTTGCCATTGCACGCCACGTCAAATTGTGTTTATGAATTTACATGCATTTGTGGATGCAAGTACATTGGGTGAATGCAAAGGCAACTGGCAGCCAGGGCAGCTGAGCACCTGCCTAAATGGCCTCTAAAGCAGGAGAATAAGATTCCACGGTCTTCTTTTACAAAACACCTCCTTGATAGTGACCATTCGGTTGACCCCAAAACGTCTTTTCGAGTATTAGTTCGAGCACGAACAACTCGGTTACTGCGCTACCTGGAAGCAGCCTACATACAGCGGGAGAAATCCGGCCTATGTAAACAGTTAGACCACGTGGTCAACCTCAGCTGGCCCTGGTAGATCTGAGCCCTTTTGATTTTCGAAATCCGTCGGCATGTTTACTTCCCCATTTTCTTTCCTATGTTGCGTTTTCAAGTTACCATTTTATTGATTAGTCTGCCTGCAGTAAACGATGACCTTGCTGTTTTGTATTGATTTTCTCAGTGGAAATTCAAACCGCTGTATATTTCTCACTTGTTATCTGTGTTATGCAATGACAGACTGCAGTTGATAAGCTGTCGCGAAATTTACTGGTTCCAATAAATTCTGCTGTCCCTGCCTACTCTAAGGATCCTAACATTAATTTCATCATTAAAGCAGATGGACACGGCGATTAACGGCATCTGCGGACAGCATTGAGAAATCTCGAATTTCTGTCACATATTTCGTACTCCGATGAGGTGCCGGAACAGACCGCTCAATTTGAGATATTCAATTAGGGGGCGCGTAAACTGGCGTAAACTGGCTTAGTGGTTAAGGAAGGACGGATTTGGTAAGACGGTATACAGCAGACAAACGTAACCCTAACGTCAACCCCGAATCTAACCGTCTCCTTAACCTAAACCTAACCCTGAGTCCGGCCCGAAGCCCAACCCTAAATCCTACCCCGAACCGCAAAATCGGAACACCAAACTTCGATCCCAATCATAACCCTAAAGGCTTTCCCCCGGATAAACCCTAGTGTATCATGCCTACATAAATGAAATAAGTAGGTATTTATGGTAAATATAATAATCGCCGGGAAAAAGTAAACGACTAATTTAGAGGTCGATTACGCGAGCAACTGTTAATCGGGTAATTTGTCGTCATACAGCAGTTATTTTAGGGACTGAATTCGTCCCATCAAGCCAAATTAGCCTAGGAGTGCTTCTGTCTTCAACCGCCTTCTTTTCCATATTCTAGACTTCGCCTCTTCGGAGTTGTTCGATCAGACAGGCCAAACGGATTCAGAAATGACTACCTCCCAGCATTTTCAGAAGAAGAAAAAGAAGGTAATTGCCTGGTACCATGATGCACCGATTACCATGTGTTTTTGTCTCCGTCGGTCCATGTAAACTGCCCTGCAAAAACCGGCCGATGTCCACAGTATCCTCTCCTACTGGCGGAATGTTTGATTCACGTATGTGCTCGGGCCTGACTCCGGCGCATGTAATTATAGGGGAAGAGATGAAAGTGTTTCATAATAAAGAATGTGTTGCTTAGTCTGTAACCGCACCTCTGAATGCCGTCCACCCTCTCGTCCCCATCAGCCGTAGTCCCACATCTTCTTCTCCTTCTTTTTCTTCTTCTTCTTCTTCTTCTTCTTCTTCTTCTTCTTCTTCTTTTGGCTCTTTATCACTGTTTGGTTGGACATTTATTACAGTATGTTCATCTTAAGCAACTGTTGTTGTTGTTGTTATTGTTGTTGTTGTTATTAACCCTGCACGGTCTCGATACCAAATCATTTCCGCTGCGCAAGTACCAATCCGAACTAAAGGTTCAAAAATCGCAAGCAACCGGCTGCATTATCAGCGGCATCAAGACCGTCCTACCCCAAGGACGTGACGCTTTATCAAAAGTAGGTCGGACCATAGGGCGGGTACTCATCCTGTACCCTGGAATTCCAGAAAGTAAGCGAAGTTACAAGATAAACCCCATGACGTTATTGGTGGAAAAAAATGGGTGATTCAGTACTTTCATCACGACGATCGAGAGGCGCTCATCGATCATTTTCCAACAGAATCC